TTCAAATAGGAGTAAAAATTGTGAAAACTAATAATGATAATATTGGAGGGGAAAATGTAACTTTAAATAGTGGGGGGTGGATTTATTTAGCAAAATTAAGCATAAATAAGCTGATTGAACATCACAGTGCATATGCTACACTATTGATTCATAGTATTTTGATGTGATCCTACTCCGGATTATTCTACATCAGGATGTACAAATATGTTTTTCTATCCTGATAGTTCGGTTAAGCCAGATAAGCGATTTATAATTTTAAAACGAGTTGCTATCGCAGTCCGAAGTTGCCTGATGTAGTAAATAATATAAAAATAAATGACGATTATCATGATATAATTTTTAAGAGATGGTTTATTATAAAAAATAGTAATATCGCAAAAATATGGATTCCATTAAAAGATACTTTTCTTTCTTCAGAGAATATAAGATGGCATTTACAAATTTAAATATTAATACTGAATTTCAGAGGTATAGAAATGAAAATATGATATATATACTAGTGTTGAATATGTCCTGTGTCCTATAGTGTATGAGATACGCTGCTATCCACTTGAAGGAACATTTCTGTAAAACCTTTTTTTAAAGAAAATTTTACTTCTTTTCTACGAGTATTTCGAAAAATTCAAAGGTCATTGAATTATTCCATGATATTTCGTGCATTTAACACAGTTAAGGCGTTTGAGTACACTACCGTTTATTTAGCATAGTTGTATTAGAGAATCATAACTTACAATAACTATGAAAATGTTTATCTAACAAATTAGAGAGTTTTCTTAAAACTTATGAGATATTCACTTATAAGTTTTAAATAACTTCAGGCTTAAATATTGGGCAATATTATCAGAAGTATATTCCATAAAAGAAGGTAATATATGCTAAAAGTAATGAAATACAGAAAAATAACCCAAGTACAAAATCTTTTTAAGACTTCTTCACCTGTAAACAGCATAGGTAGATTACTCTCTCGTCAATATATCGTTTGGCCCTGGTTTGTTTTTTACGTTCAGAATTTTATTATGTAAAAGTAACACTAATTTATTCTAACAATTCGTCAAGATTATCTCTGATCTTTAAGTTAAGCTTTGCAATTTTAAATGTTGATTTTTATTTTCATTTACTGTAATTTTATAAATTGATCTAAAATTTGAAAGGAATTTTCTGCTTCCTTCCAGCATACCTTCGTGGTGTAAAGGTAGCACACTCGGCGCATATAATCGAAACGTCCAGGTTCGGATCCCAGCGATGGCATAGCACATTTTTCTCTTCTCCTGTTTGAAAAATTCTAACGCCTCTACAGCGATGCCCGAATAAGAGCTGCAGAAAAAATGTTGCTGAAGATCTTGATAAAGCATGTAGTCTTGTTATTATCACGTAGTTTCAAAATGCATTTTTTACTGCTTCAAAGTTTCCGTAATCGGTAACGTGTTACGACAAGATAAAGGAATCTATACAAGACCTATCAGAACTTGCGAAATATCTCATTTCTTAAGAAGTAATTTTGTACTGAACGTATTCACTATTAACGTGAAGTAAAAGGGAACATAATCAGTTAAAAAAATATGCTAAACATAGTATTTACGTATATATGAAATGCCTTAGTAATTATATATATATATATATTCAATTTGCGTTAGGTGCAAGTTCAAAATGTATTTTCTTCCATAATTTGGCACCTACTGCTCATGACAAGTTTTTCGAACGATATTACATGTTTCACGTGTTTATGTGGTTTTAACTCACCATATCTTTCTTTGTGTTGAAAAGTAATGCAGTTTTATAAATTGTACCCATTTCTTACGAATTTAAATGGCTTTTTCAAGCCGTCTTTGAAATTTAATGTCAATACGCAGAATGCATCTATAAGATTTCCGAGTGCTTTTTAAATAATTTTACCAAACTTGACAAACGATAAATGATAGCATTTATTGTTATGGCCTTTCCGGAAATACAAGTAATGAAAATATTAATATTTCCTATGGATCTATTTACCCAAGGCATTAAGAATAAAACCAAAATGCTTCTAGCAATTGCACAAATCTCGAATTTACCTTTTTGTAATTCATATACATTTGCACTTCTGTAGAGCAGGTTGGCTCCATAATTTTATTAAAAGACTTCCGTAAAAGTGGAAGAGGCGGAGAAAGCCTTCTTCACTCACCACGATTAAGCGTTGAAGGGGAGGGAGAGAGAGGCCAATTCTGTGGCTGGCGCCCTAATGGAACATTTTAGTTTGAGCAGCCATTTTGTAGTGGAGTTGCACGGAAAGAAGCAAACGAATTATCCCCAGTTCCAGAAACATTAACCTGCCCACTTTATCGCCTCCTACTCTGCCGCCAAGAAGGAGGCGAATCAAGAGTAAATAAATAAATAAAAAAGGCATTTCCACACGTCTTGGCCGAAATTTCATCACGGGCTTTCTTTCCATTCCGACTGCCGGTGATTCCACGGCCATCAAAGGGCCGTCGAGGAGAACCGCGGGCCTTTTGTGTCTCTCCAATCCGCAACTGGTAACCCGATTTAACGTTTTCTCTTTCCACTCTTAAGGACAGTTTTCTTCGGGTTTTCGCTCTCAGTGATTTGTCTCGAGCTTTAAATGGGTGATCGCTCCCCCCCCCTCTCATTGGGGGTGCTTTCTTCCGCTTTATTCTCCACATTCGCCTGCTTTTCCCCTTTGATGGGCTTCCCATTTTCCTTACTGGAGCATAAAACCAGCTCCGGACTTTCCCCTTTTTTGCAGAAGTGCATTTTCGAGGAGGTGAGGTTTGTAAATGGGAGTAATTTTGCGATGGTAGTGCTATCCGTAATTCTGCGCTTTTGTAGCTCATAACAGTCGGAAAATCTCCAACAAAGATACTACAACCTTATTAACATCAGCGGTTTTATAAAAACGAAGCCAGAGCAAACTCATAAGAAAAATGCTATTTGAAATCTCACAAAAACTTGCTTTTTTTTTTTTTTTTTTTTTTTTTTTTTTTGCTTTCTATACTTAAAAAAGGTTAGACAAATAAAACTTTGACACAGATTTTCTTTATCACCGAAGATTTAATTCAAAATGTAGAATTTTTCTTAAAAAATACCATTGTTTACTTATCATTAAGAAAAATATTCATTTTTATTGGCCATGAAATAAGAGCTGCATTTCTAATGGAACGCTACCTTTATCTCCTTTGGTTGTTCTAAATGTTATTGAGGTGTCATTAAAGATAAACGCAAATATTCTTTGCAAAATAAACAGAGATCATCAATAAAAATGGAACCAAACCGTGGGACAAAAAAAAATAGTTTTGTGTAAAATGTCTATTAATCATTTTTAGGACATTTTTATTTTTGAGAAATCTGATTAACTTGAGGTAAATTTTGATTTATGCTTTAAATCAGAATCTTAAAACTCGTTTTTTAAGATTATGAATCTTTATAATTTCTATGTAATCCATATATCATGCGTACCAAAGAGTAAATATTTTCTGCTATAAAACATATTTTGCTTCCCGCTCTTTCAACGAATTCTTGATTGCAGTTTCAATGGTAGAATAAATATGCGTATGGTGAGCCATCAGTTTTTACTACTGAAAAATAAGTTCATATTCATACTTAGAAAATAACAGAGTAACATTCGATTGGTCGATACCTTTACGCAGTATGTTACAAAATAACATTCTCAGTAGTCGGTAAGTTTATGAACAGAAAGCATATTTTCCAGAAGCTGCTTGACAAAGCAGACTGGCATAAGTAGACTTTCCCTGAAGCAGTTTTTTGTGGGGTTCATTCTTAGTACTTGTGTTACCAAGTAAAGCTTAATTTATTACATTTTTACCTCAAAAACTTTATGCCCAAATGTCACATTTCTATTTAACTGGCCACATAACATTTTGTAAATTATTCTTAAATACTATAAAATGAAAATTATATTGATTTTTAGGGAAACCCATGTGTTGGTTGTTATTTTTTAAATTGCTCAAATACTGAGTTAACTATCGTAATGCTGGTATTGGTATAATATAAAATACATATTAATTTTGAGTAATAGGATCTAACATTTAATTTATTTTCTAATGCATTTTTCTACGTAGTTCATTCAGATTTATATTAATCAGAATTCGAAATGAATCGCATGGTTCATCCTTGTTGTAAGCTACCTATTTTTAGACTAACCAAGATATAGACTCATTGATGTATAAGGTATTTCTCCCGCCTTCTTGGCATGACTTCGTGGTGTGGTGGTCTGCACGCTGGGCGCGTTATCTAGAGGTCAGCTGTTCGATTACCGGCGAAGGCGTTGTTCATTTTTCATTCTTGCCTGCTTTCCAAAAAATCCTAATGTCTCTACAGATGTATTTATTATATGTTATAAGACAATGGATGAAGGAAGGGAGAAAAAGTCCATATAAGAAGAATTAAGAAAGAGAATTATGAGAGTTGAGTACGATAACTAACGAAGAAGGGAAACCCACGCAGAAAAAATAATAATTCTTACCAAGTGTTGAATTCAAAAGCTTAATTTCGTACTAGCAATCAGCCTCCGCTCCTATGAAGAATCTTTCATTTTCGTCAGATAGTTCTAATATGTTTTCCTGCAGTTAAAGTACCACAAATTATTGTTTGACTTTAGGGAGAAACTCAATATGAATCATTAATTTTCACTCTCTTTGTCTTTAAATTGCTTGTTTATCTGAAATGGAACGAAGTTAACTTAAGAAAGTCATTGTAATATATTTAATCATCCACAGAGCAGTGTGCTAATGAATTAACATTATTTAAAGAAACCTATCGCAGTTCACTAGATAATATAGGAAGAATGTTAGTCAAAATAATAAAACTTTAAATCATACATTATACATGGTTTGGTATCCCCTTAATATTACAAATTTTCAGTAATTTTTATTTACAATTAATAATTAGTTTATATTAATAATTAGTTTTCTGTTTGTATTTAAATTATTTTTAGATCAGACACATATATTAAGCTCAACAGTTTAATTGAAATGTGTCACATTTTTCAGTTACATCTTCGCCCATCGCTTCAGTGTCCACAACTACAGAACCGGAATCTCCAGCGGAAGTAAAGCCAGAAAGCCATCACTCTCAGCACCACCAGGAATCAAACCCTGCATCCGATCATGGGACTGTCGCTACAAACGGAAGCATCACCAGCAATCCTGACAGACTGGACGAATCCTCCAGGCAAGATGATGAGGACACAAAAAAACGGGAACCAAGTCCATCCTCAAACCAAGGTGCTCCTTCTTCCTTGGAGCATACGGGTGGACACAAGGTAAAACAGCGCCGGTCCAGGACCAACTTCACACTAGAACAACTAAATGAGCTAGAAAGGTTATTCGACGAAACTCATTACCCAGACGCATTCATGAGAGAAGAGCTCTCTCAGAGGCTTGGACTTTCCGAAGCTAGGGTTCAGGTGAGCTTCACTTTCTGTTACGTTTCTCTAGATATGTTTAAACTAACTCTTGGAAAAAGGAAACAAAAATGTAGAGATTTTTGTTGGCCAGTCATTAAAGTTACATTAATATAAATTTGAGACGAAGTTAGAAAAGTCCACGATCTGTGTGAAAATAAGGTCGTTGTGAACTTCTTGTGACTACATTTTGTAGTGATTTCAGAAATGGAACGTTAGAAACAAGTTTAACAAATTTATCTGGCAAGCAAGCCATTTATCTGAACTAAGGAAAATATCAATGCGTTTTCATATGGTACAAATTAATAATTATTCCTTTATTAAATAATAGTTATAAAGTAAATAAAAAATTTACTTTTGATGGGATAACTGTCCAGTGGAACATAGACAGTTATATTGGCTGTGGAATATGTGGTACACGTATGGCTTCGTTGCTATTAAATGTGCTCAAACTGAACAGCAGAATGCTATCCTTGTTCAGAAGCTAGACACCTATGAAAGGGAAGATATTGTGCTTATAATCTAGATCTCTCTCATTCGATTCATATCGCCTTCATCCCTAGAAATAACTGTGATTCTAAGTAAACACTGAATTACAGAAGGCTGGGTAATATAGCAGCTAGCAGAATGATATCTTTACGCTATTCTTCAATAAGTAAATTTCCTTAACCACCACTGCGATTCTCCAAAATATAGTAAACATTTCGCGCCAGATAACACTTTAATTACTACTTTATATTCACTTCCTACTTTAAAAAAATACTGAAATATCTCCTGCTCTGCAATAAATAATTATTAAATTCCTTTCGTTTCATAATACTTCAAAACATGTACAATAATCTTTTACTTTCAGATATGAAACATATGAGTGAATACTAACATTGCACGTTTATTTTTGTGAGTTTGTTTAAGCCTTCGGAAAATGCTAGCTTGTTAAAATTGGAGATAAATTAGCATTTGGAAAATTTGGAAAAGAGAGGGAAATTAAAATTTTTTTGTTGTGTTTCCCCAATGTTTTCGTTCATTAATTAATTAGAATGTCATTTTCTTGCGGTGGTAGTTCTTTGGTAAATTGGAGAAATTCTTTCAGGGAGGGTACGCCAACTCGCACGAATAGACTATGAATAATTCAGGAGATGGTACACTTAATGTGCCCCATTCTGAATAAAATAACGATTGATTCCAAATAAAATAAAATAAATAAACTCCTATTTATTCCTTCGCACCCCAAAAAGCCCCATCTGGACGAGCGGTGGAGAGGTCACGTGATCTTGCGGATTGTCCTTTCGTCCATTTACTCGCTGCGGGCGGGCGATAATCGGATTAGCAAACGATAACCCCTCGCGCCGACATTCGAAATTACGCACTACCGATTGCCGATGACAGACAAGCTTCCTCTTCCCGTCCTCGGCCGTCGAACAGTGTTTCCTCACCTCCATTACATAGCCCCCGTCCCCTCTTTCCGCTTAAGCGAATATTTACCCTAGTGATGTAAGCAAAGTGTGTACTGCGGGTTTTTTTTTTTTTTTTTTTTTTTTTTTTTTTTTTGTCTCTTTCTGTCTAAAGAGAATGACTCCATCATTGCGCAATGATAACGAAGTGGATGATTGTAAAAATTGTGAATTTTTTTAAATGTTGTAGGTTGTAGCCTTTTAAAATAAATTTTGTTTTACTATGGAAAATATAAATTATTCAGTCATTTACATAAAACCTACAAACAGCTTGGTTCAAATAATTTCTAATATTGACTTCATGAGAGAAATATCAGTTTGAAAATTATTAATTTTTTTCCTTATAAATGGACTTGTATGTACAATTTCTGCATACACTCAAACAAAAAATACATCACATCTTTGCTACTTTAATCGACATTTTTCAGATAATTAAATAAACTAATCATATACCAATAAATGATAAAAGAAACTAAGCGTCACTCAAAAATAAAAGAAAATGTGAAATGTAACAGTATAAAACAAGTAACAGAAGAAACAATATCATAAGACATGAAAGAATAACGGAATAATCAAAATAAAAATACGAGATATAATTAATGAAAGCGTAAAATAAAAATATTAACGACACCTTCAATTTTAACTGCATAGATTCTCCAAACTGAAAAAAAAAGTATATAAATTTTGTAAATTATGTGATTTTTAGAATATGAACAGCTAAAGAAGGATTAACTATTAACTAAGTATATACCAAAAGCAAAGATAGTATAAAAGTGAGAAAATTTAACTGATATAATTGCCCTTTTTTTCCTCTTACCCCACTAAGCATGTATGATATTGAATATTTCCTTCTAACATTTTAAAATGTCTCACATCCATACAACATCTTAGTAAAGTCACTGCAATTCAATCAAGATACAATGTGGCAAAAAGATGGATATCTATGAGTGTAACATATATTCCATATCGTAGGTCACATTTCATCTGTCTTCTATATTTTATGTTAACGCATCTAATTTTTGGATTATCCAAATCCAAGATTAAGCCTGCAGGAATGGAAACTTGTTGAATGTATAGTAGGAAAGTTACATATTCAATATTAAAACGTAGATTCAAAATTAACAAGAGTTTTGAAGCGATTAATCGAATGTTTCATTTCTTGTTTATTTTTAATTTTTCATAAGTTTTCACTTTATAAATTTAAAGAAAAACAGTGTAGAATTAAATATTATGTTGGAGAAAATTTAGATTTGAAATTTATTCGAAGTTTAAAAAAAGAGGAAGAAAATTGCTCTAAAATAACATAATAAATAGATTTTCGAAGTTAACTTACTCAGTATATAAACAAGTATAAAATTTAAAATGTTAAGCAGTTTATTTCACTGTTATATAATTATAAGTCTTAACATGAAGAATATGTTCCATTACAGTTTATTTTGATGATTAATTGGTATTTCTTCCTACTCCTTACTTCTACAGGTGAACACACTAAATATATTGGAAAGAAGATTCTTTGCTTTTATAATAATCTGGATCCTCTGGAGAGGCATAAAATGAGCTTTTAAAATATTGCTGCAGGAATTGCTCTTTATTCTTTCAAATGAAATAGATCATTGGTTAAAATCTCTTTTATTTGATTCGCAAATGACTTTCCACTTCGACCTAAATATTGTGTTCACTGGAACTGATTTCAGAACATTCAGTAAAATCTTCAAACTTCATCTCATTAAAACATTTTTATACTTATCTCATTATAAAGCACAACTTGCTAAGTAAATGGGGTCGTATGACATTGAAAAAAGCCTAATATTATGATGCTGATTCCACAAACGTCTCTGGGGAATATGTTTTCACCACCTAGTGAAACTCGTATAAATCCACCGGCTAACAGTAGAATAAACACAAAACTCTATTGAGAATGCTGATATTGGACAGTTTAAACTGCATCCAAATACACAATCTGTATACAATGAACTCGCCTACTTATATTAAATTAATTTTTGTTGATTTTACGTGCTTGGAATTTTTAGAAGTATCATTTATAATTGAGACACAAGACTGAAGCAAAATAAAGTGTTTCTTAGCTGATAGACTAAAAGTTCACTAAATTATAATTACTATATTTCTAACTTGTACATTCTTTTTCTATGAAACAGAAGACTTTAGTCTAAGTATATATAGAATTTCATTGCTTTTATTAACTGCACGATTCATCCATTTTACATACAGTTATTTCTCTTATTTGAAATAACAGGCACGTACAAAGAGCTCAAAAAATATGCATCCTTTTCTAGTTAAAAGTTAAAGAGGAATTGTCTCAAACAACATATATAAAATAATAGCAAAATGCATTAACTGTTAGAGAGAGAACAGTAACATGTCCTGGTACAAACAACCATTTCGCTCTCTTTGTGCTGCAAACGTTACAGATTCTCATTTGCTAATTGGCTTCAGCAAAGATTCTCAGTTATTCCAGTCTATTATTCTTTCAATTTCTACGCCCTGCCTGTTTACGACATTGCTCATGGCTGCTCCCCTGCCGCCCTCAGTACCCCAGAGGGCACGGAGATAACCAGAGAACCAACCAGGAATGGGGACACCTCAACTCCTCTCCTAACTGGCAGTGGCAGTGGCGATTAAGAGACCTTTTACTCTGATTAGGAACTTGTTCCCGCTTAATTCCGCCTTTATAGGGCACCCTAACCTTTTAATTTAGCCGGCTTAATTGGGTTGGCTTCAGCGCCTTTCACGCGCTCCTTGCCTGCAGAGGGATCTCTCTTTTTTGTATTTATTTTTTGTTTTTTTAATGAGCTGGCCGCGGTCACAAACGGGAAAGAAGGGTAGGCGGGTGTGTCAGGCGTATAATTTAGGCTTTGAGACGCGCTGGAGGCATAAAATGAGGGTTATAAATATAGGCTCTGCCTTTTGTGTGGTTTTATATACATGTGGTATTAGGGATTTAGAAGCAATTACCGTTATTGGCGAGCGCGGAATTCTGGATTTGGGAAACACTCGCTTTCGCTTTGTCCGCGTAATACTGGAAGGCCAATCGAAAAGGAAATTCAAATTTAGAGGTGGAGTAATGGGGGGAGAGTTTTTATTTCTGCTTCATTTCCCCGATTGGTTTTTATTTCCTTCTCCTTCAGAGAAATGTTTATGTGTTATGGGACTGCAAGGCTTTACTCGATAAACTGTGCTTTTCGAAAGACTTCTCTCAATACAGTCTTGTTGAAGCGTATCGGTAAATACAGGTTTAAGATAGTAAATATCATTGAAAAGATACTTCTTTCGATGTAGAAACGAATGCAATGCAATATATTCAAAATTTTAAGTCTATTACAATGTTGCAAATAAATTATACAACATATTGTTAGATCGATGAAAATAAATGGTACCGCAAATTTCTCAAGTGTTCTGTTTGCTTTTAAATCTAAGTAAATATACCGACAACTTGCAAAATTCAGATATTGATGTCTAATCGATTTCCAGACACCAACGCATATAACAATGCTTTCAAGTATTTGGATGTCTATATGCAGATATGCGGTAAGAATCTAAGCTACTGGTTAATTAAAAGTTTTTGGCTATGTGAGAAATTTTTCCTTTTATGTTTAAAATTATAGATGAACAAGTTTTCATATTAATACGTGAGTGTATAGAGATTCA